CCATAATGAATTTCGTTCTCTGCTTTTTTAAGATTACATCATCTTTATATTTAGTGAACGCTTAAAATAATTTTTTGTTACATTAGAAAAATAGTAACAGTCCAGATATCAGATGAAATTAATTGCTTTTAAAACTGAAAGTAGATGAATGCAAAAGTGAAGGGCTGGAGATATAAATTGTAGGTTATAATGAGTTGTCGTAATTAATTGGTTTATAATTAAGGCCTAGTTACTTGTTAAGTTTTCCTAAATAAATGGCTATTGGCTTGATGGCTTCAGCTGGAATTTCATCAACCTGACTGAACGCTTCAAGAATCAAGAAGAAGAGAGTAAGGTGTGTATAGTCAGGTCACTCTAAGTTTGAACACCAAGCTTTTTATAGCTCGTTTGGTGTTCTACCTTACAGTGAGCAGACTGTACACCATATCATCGCAGCGAGAGACTTCTTACAACCGTTTGAAGCAGCAGATGATGTATTAAAAATAATATAAACTTAAACCAATTTTAATGTAAATTTATAAGAACTAATTATGTGTATTGTACGTTGAAATAAGTTAATACATTTTGTACATTATTTAAATAAATTAAACAGTCTTAAATAGTGGTTAAGTTTTACTTTTAATACTTCTAGCTACTACACTTGTTTTTAGAATGTAACGTAATGTCAAATCAAGTCCATACTGATAATAGTTATTGAAGATTACTTTTTTAAAGTGGTAGACAGAAAGTAGAGTAAAATTATAATCTTAAAATTTATTTAATATCCAAGTATATTCACTAGATGGCGATATACTGTACACTGTACTTGGATTTTATATGAACTCGCACTTTAGAAGCTACATGGGTTTGGTCAGTGATTTAAACGAGCGGTATAGCCTTGAGGTTTAGACCATTGCTTAGCATTCGGGAGGACGTCGGTTCGATTCTGGGTCCATCTGCCTTGGTCCAAGTTTTTCTGTGGTTTCCTTGGATCACTTAGGCAAATGCTGGGGCAGTAATATTCCACAGATAATCTTTCATTCTTTTCAGTCTTCATTTCGTCCGTCTCATCTTTCTCACCCGAACCACCACCCACCCATTCCCACGATTCCTGAAAGCAGACTGAAGAGGGCCTTCCGCCCTACCTTCCGACGTAGTCCGGAGGGGCTGATCGCCCACCAGCGTTAGTGGCTAGTGGGAATTACATACCCAAAAGTTTTGGCGCGCTGATGAGGTCAAATAAGACCAAGAACTTAATAAATGTTCTTATTAATACGTATTTTCAATTCGAAAATTTTACGATTTAATACGAATTCTTTGATTTCGCTGCTAACAGCATTAATTTCGGGCACCTAGTGATGATAAATATTCAAACAGGGATAAAAATAATTATGAAATTTTGAAAAACTACAATTTTGGCGAATATTTAGACAACAGTAGATTATTTAGGAGATGACTTCACGAATTTTATATTACACAAAAGCAGCGAGTAGTTGGCTAGATCATAAATCTTCTAGCGTTCAAAATAGCGTCAGTCGTTTGGCTTGAATGCCCTTTAAAGACGAAAAGCTTTCATTACATTTAATCGATGTAAGTCACTCTTTTAGAAGGACATCAATCTCTTCTTCTTTTGGATGAAATCACTAAGGATTTTGTGTACTTGTCAGAGCATTTGAAGCAAGCGTACATGCATAGTTTGGCATTTCACTTCATAGCATTTTCCATTTTCATAAATTACAGTATGTTCGCGCCAAAGTCCAAAATGTGTCATAAAACAATAATAGTAACCATTTTTGAAATTAAAAATATACTGCCTTCACAAATTTAAATTTCGATTATTAAATAAATATGTAATCATCATCATCATAATCTATACATCGAAGACGCGATCAACATCATGAAAGACAGTACAGTGCTTAGATTTGCAGATGATATAGCAGTATTAGCATCTAGCAAGAGAAGATAGCTTTAGATAAAATGGAAGCGATAATGACGAAACAGTACTGTATGAAAATAAATAAAAGTAAAACAAATATACTGGTATGCAAGAGAAGAAAAAGTAGGGAAACAGCGAATATAAAGATAGGAGACGAAAAATTAGAAGAAGTGACCGATTTTAGGTATCTAGGAAGTCAGATAAGTCAGGACGGAAGGAGTAGCAGGGATATAAAGCAGAGGAAAGCTCAAGGTCGTGTCGCCTTCGACAAAAAGAAGTCACTTCTATGCTCGCAAACGGTTAATTTATAAATTCGAAAGAGATTGTTAAAGGTGTATGTTGGGAGCGCGGCCCTGTACGGGTGCAAAACATGGACGGTGGGCCCGGTGGAAAAGAAAAGATTAGAAGTATTCGAAATGTGGTGTTACAGACTAATAATGAGGATACCGTGAACAGAGAAGGTCAGAAATGAGGAGATATTAGAAAGAATAGAAGAACAGAGGACTCTATGAAAATCAATAAGAAATAGGCGAGATAGGTTAGTAAGACACCTTCTCAGGCATGAAGGTCTAGTCAGAGACATATTAGAAGCATAAACGGGAGTTAGGAGTGGTAGAGATAAACGTAGATTAGGTAGTAACAAATAGTTAAGGATGATCATTATAAGGTCGTCAGTCCTAAGACTGGTTGGACACGCACCTCCACTCTTTCCTATCCTGAGCTAATCTTCAAATAGATAATACCAATATGATATTCTTAGCTCTTATTCTATATATATTTGTATTTTCTAAGGATGTTGCCAGAGTTTACACGTATTTCCATAAATAAATGTTGCTTCGTTCAGCTGAATTCCTTGTGTATCGGCTTAATTTTAATTAAATAAGTTTTCATAATTAACATATTATATCTGCTTAAACTATGCTTAACATTTTCGATAACACTTTGATGAACACAAGATTGTATTATTGCAGACTCATGTATGTTAGTAATAAGGATATTTCTAACTTCTAAGCTTCCCGTCAAATCAATGTGCATGTTTCATCCCTATCCAAAAACGTTAAGACGCTTGGCAACATTTTTATCAGATCTTATAAGCTGCTGCTGCTGCTCTCTTTAAACCGTTTCTTATCATCTAACGTGCTTAAAAACTCTCTAAAGTACTCAAAAGATGCTAGCAAATACAACATAGAGCACTTCCTAATCTCTCTAACAGAGTCAGGTAGTAAGCAAGAAATTGAACAGTTCTTCTCGTTCGAAAAAGCTCAAGATCCATACTAGTCTTCAAGAGAAGATAAACTGTTTTTATTTTATTCTCGCAAAGAAACAGCTTACAATTTCAGACTTCCCCTTGTATCAAGAACAAAATGCTCTCTGTAATTCTTATTGTTATAAAAAAGTTCTCCAGGGGATTTAACATCTGTCATAGAAGCCAAAGGCAATTCCCAATACTGTGTTCAATTTCGATTTTGTAAAGGAATACTTAGGAACGGTAGTTCTTGCTTTCCATTTTCGTGGGTGATCGAGAGCAACATTTATCTATCTTTTTTTTAATAGTAATGCCCCTTATCTGTCTACTATAAGACCAGCTACAAGTGGTTTCATCCCTTGAGCTCCTGAACTAGTAAGAGATTCTCAGGGAAGCCATACATGTAACCAACAAATCGATTTCATGCTAAACCAGCACAATAGCCACACGCTAGAGTAGAGATTATCTCCTTTGAACTCGAACAACTAGCTCGAAATGGAGCCCCAGTCAAAATCTGTACCACAAACACGCCAGAACACGATGTACGCAATAATGAAGAACCATCTGACGTACTACATACTAGTTCCCATTATTACCTGTCCAATAGACATAGTACATAGAAACTGGATTATACTGAGACTCGTCAGAAAAAAATCAAAATGAAACTGAACGATGTTGAAGGACAGTTACTATTTAAATCTTCGGTAAATGTCTAGATGATGGGGTGGGTGGGATCGAAAGAAGAGGTCTCCCCCACCACTGTACCATAAAAAGTTCGTGGCGGTCTCACCCCCATAAAAAGTTATGGGGGTTAGATAGGGGTGGGGGAAGGGGGATCGAAAGAGAGTGGTCACTTGAGTAAAACCCCATAAAAAATTTGAGGCGGTCTCACCCCCTTAAAAAGTTATGAGGGTTGACAGTTGATTGTTTCGACAATTTTCATCCACTATAATTCAAATAAAATTCAGTAAAAAAATATTTTCAAGCGGGTGGAGGTGGGGGATCGAAAGAGGGTGGTCAGTTGAACAAAACCCGGTAACCTAACCTAACCTACCCTGCTGATAAAGCTAATTAAATAATATTTTAAATAAGTTTCTCAATATTTTTATGTATTTTTCATTAGTTTTACCTTTGAATATTGTTTAAGAATGACTGTATAAATATTTACATGCCTAGTAATGTATAAAAATTGGCATATTTATTAACTTTGAGCCCCTACAACTTTTTATGGGGGTGAGACCGCCACAAACTCTTTATGGTACAGTGGTGGGGGAGACCTCCTCTTTCGATCCCACCCACCCCCACCCCTGCAGGGGCCATCATCTAGACATTTGTCAAGTATAGTATTAATACAGATAGGATAGTAGCGTACTAGAAAATAATGTAGAAACATAACTTACCAAAAAGAAAAAAACCTATTGCTTTTGTTTTATAGTTAGTTTTCACATTCACTATCATCATGGGAATCTCTATCACTGTCACCAACAGCAACAATTAGTTCTTCTGTTTGTATGTCTATTACTTGCTCACTGATCCCTATTTTTAAATATTTAATCTACGCCCCTGATAGGAATACTGAAGAATGAGGGCTGCAATCGTTATACCTAAACCTGCCTACTTTTGCCACCGCGCATCAAAATTTCCGCCAGCTTCCAGCGTCAAGCCTGTACCTCATTCGTTACATATAAACGCCGCCTCTGGTGATTAAAAATTTGTGACTTTATGTAAAGGGCAATTTTGATTTACGATTTCGGCTTATGAGTTTTTCCCGTTTCATTATTCGTTATCAAAATAACCGGACCATAAACAAACGTAGTGATAAGACCTTTTTTGTTTCAGACGAGTTCTGCGAAGAGTTTCCCCATAATTTTCTTCCCACTCCAGGCTACTGGATCGAATGTTCCAGGCAAAAAATCGCTTCTGACACGATTTGGGATGAGAGCGAATCGGATAGGGACTTGCCGGAAGGAGACGAAGAAGAACAAAATGGCACCGACGATAACGGTCACAAAGGTAAGCCAGTTGAACTTGTTCTGGTTGTATCCGCGGCTAATTCCATAAGAGCGCTCTCGTTGGCAAAATGCATACGGTCAAATGTGTACCTACCCAGATATCGTTTTATTGTGCACACATACACGTGCATGTAGATACATACACACGGCCCCTGGGCGTCTAACAAAGTAAATTTCAGCATACTGATTTCAAATACGACATGCACCCGATATTTGCCTCTACTACACGGCATACACCACGTTCAGTGCATTATTTTAATTAATTTTATTGAATGAACAAATATGGTGAACTTACAAATTGTCCACATTGCAATTTTCACGATGTAATTTTAAAACCACTTCAGGCATACCAAAATATGGCAACGTTTAAACAAAAAATGTGTACACGTAGCAAGCTTTATAACGTTTGTTGACTTTGATGTATGTATCTACTTGCCCAAATAGGGTGATATTTAAATTAAATAAATAAAAGAAGACAAAAATTCACAATCACACAATATGTATACCATTTCCGGTCAGTGCCTCTCTACATTCATTTCAGTACTCAGCTAAACTGCTACAACTCCACCCCAATTACGGGTAGAAGCCCTCATAATAAATGGAAATGTGTTTAATGTCACATGACCCCATTTACCATCTAATGTAACAGATTTTAAACAATATGGCGGCATATTTCCATTACTTTAAATTTCCGAATTGGCATAAGTCATTTTGCTAACATGTAATTGAAGAAGAAGTTTTAATAACTAAATATTTTGTTAGTTTTATTCTTCCATCAAATCTAACCTTAATGATGGAAAATAGAAAATTTTCACATGAATATTACTTAAGTGATCTATTTCCAATATGTTCAATCTCTAACTAAAACATTTACAAATACATTATTCTGTCAACGCTCGAGGTACATCAAAGCTTTCAGTATTGAAGTATTTATTAAGCCATAGAAATTCACAAATCTTTTTGATTGATTGAATAGCATTTCTCTAAGTTTAATTTTTCATCGGCTACTTTTAATATATTCAATATATGACTAAAAATGTTGATTTAAACGGATTCGAGTATGTCTCTGGTTTTACTTTCAGGTAATGATCTTTATGAAGGTGAAGAAGATGAAGACTCCACTTCTCCATCTCCACGGAAGAAGACAACAATAGAGGAACAGTGGGAAAAGAACGGTTGTTTCGAACTCACAAGTGTTGAACAGGAAACGTACGAGAAGTATTTTTACGGAACTGAACACTGGAATTATTTCACCAACGACGAAGATTTAGGTCCAGTTATACTGTCCATCAAACAGGAAACGTTAAATGGAAGAGATCAGTTCAGGTAAGAAATAATTCAAGCCATACAGGATCATCCAAAAAATAATAGGCAGGATAATTAAGAGTAAAACAGTAAAACACGGACGCCATCTTGATGACGTAGTGAATTAGAATCCCCATAACTATACTACTCATTTGAAAATAATCTTACTAAAAAAGACTTAAGGAATATTAGGTCAGATTATACAAGATTCCGTTGATCTATGACAAAACACTACACCACATCGCAGTATGATGTAGTTCATTTTCGCCTCGTGGTATCAGAATATTTCTGAAATAAATAACAAGTTTTGTAGGATGTTAACTATATGACACAGGGAATCGCATGGCGAGTAAATCAGCACACTTAAGGGACAAAACGATTGTAAGAAAACCTGGCCTCCTTGTCAAAGTATAGCTGTTTCATGCAAACCCAAACAAAGAAGCCAAAAGGATTTAGATTAGGACTACGCGTAGACTAGGATACAGAACTAATCCAGTGTCTAAGAAAATGTTCGTTCAGAAACTCACGCATCGGCTTCTCTGCACTGACCTATAACACTAACACATTGACCTCCTTCTAATGTCATCGACTGTCTACATACATACAAGCCTACAACATTAAAAGAACAAAGAACTACTTTGGGCTAGTTGTAAACTCACACTTAATCTAATGCTAGGTAGCAGCTTATTTAATGCGGCGTTGCAATGGCCTATTTTCTTGCGTGATTCAACCAGAGCCGGACTGACCTTTGTCTGTACTTTCAAATACGTTTTTCTCGAAGACGGTGACGTTTAGGACCACCAAACATTTATTTAATTTTCTTGCTTTATAGTGCTCCTGCAACTCTGCTACTTATTTCAGAAGCCCCCTTATATATATGTATACTATTTTACAATGTTCGCATAGAATTATAAAACCGTCAACCACGCACGTCAACCTGTCATGATATTTAAATATTTTAGCATTTTTAATATTGAAATTAGATTCTAATTATGATACAGCCCCAACTCGGGCAGTGTTTATACGTGGCAACCCTTAATTATGTGTAAATATAACGACTCGTCTGCATACTTAGCACGTTTCCATCCAAACAGCCTGTCACGTCAAACGACCAACGATTATTATCGATGAAACAACTTGGACTTAAAAAGAACAGAACAAACATAATTAGTAAGCGGCTACATTAATATTGTGTTACCTGTGTCAGTTAAATGACTAACTATACAGAAATAGAGGGTTAAACACGAAAAGCTACAACCAAGTCGATGTACGTGTATCTATGTGTGAGCACAGGCATTAAAAACTATTGAACTACTGAACGATTTTCAATTATGGCTAACGGTTTATATCTGTTGATACAATCTCAATTAGAATTCCCTTCAAAATCAGAATATGATAATAATTTAAAACTTATTTGACGATAGACACGCATACATTAAATATAGTTGCTGTAGTTATAGACAGTCTATATTTTAGCTTTGAAAAGACTACATGGGTCTTTATATAGGTTCTATCTGATGAAAGATAAAATCGTTGGACGACAGATCTAACTGTCGATGATTGAAGATTGCTAAGTCTCTTACTGCAGCTCACAAATATAAATAAACACATAAAGGATAAATATTCGATAATTGAATAATGTCGATGTGTTGCTCCTAATAACTGTAATCCACGTTTGTTTACATTTTGTTTGTTGTACATCGTTAGTTTAATTAAAAAGGATTCCTAAAAACGAACGATTTAGGCATTTTAAGGAAAGATTTTAGCAAAAAACGATTAACTAATTGAAATTACAGTCCGGATCGTTATTCTGTATAAAAATCGGTTGTCTGTAAAGTCGGTCTACTGACGATAGTTGAACGTGACAACGTCATAAGAAAATACTGATGGAATGGTTTCATTTTTCAAAAGAAAATTTTAATTTTATTTGTTTGATAGATATTTTGTATGGATATAGAAAAGGAGGTAAATGGAAATGTATTATTGTATAGCAGCTGTCCACGCGGGCGCATCGCTCACTCAAGTAGGAGAGAGACAGATGTCGAACGCTGCCGAACGCGGAGGCCGATTGTGCCTCTTTGTCGCTTGTTCCGCGCTCTCGCTTGCACTTCAAGCCTTAAATGGAACGCCTCAGAGCGAGGTAACGCCGCATGACTCATGTTTTTTCGTGCGTGCAGCCGGTTCCATCGAATTATAAGACGTTGTCACGTCAAAAATATTAAATTGACTTATGAAGAATAACTTTTCGGTTTCGAATTTGATCTTAAGAAGAATTTATGAAAATATAAATAAAGACTGATCTGGATTCTTTCGGATACCAAGATCCGCAATTTCGCATGCGGTTTAAGTATCGACTTATTTTAAACTTACTGGGTATTTTTTTACTTTTTCCATTTTCTGTTTGTTTCAGAATATTAGTCCGAGCAATTAGCTACACGGTACACGGTTTGATACCAGCCAGCTGTGTTTTCGCCGACAGATACAACCGAGAAGAGGTAGTCCGATCCTTGGGAAAAGAAGTCAATATTAACCCACCCCTGACCCTTGGTCAACTGCCTGATACTCCTGAGGAACTACTTAAACTCGATCAGGTACGATACAAACACAATATCATTGTTAAAATTGTATTATTTGACCTAAACTTTCATTATAATATCAATGATCAGAAGCATAGTAGTTAGAGCATCTACAGAGTGTATTTAGAGCATTTATTGAGGAAGTTTTGAAAATTTACCGAGCGCCTTACGTACATCAGCACACCAAGCGTATGTGGAACATTTACAGAACTTAAGTTGAGTGTTTAAGGGGTAACAATTGCACAACAATGAATTTTAAATTGAAGTACAAATATTTCAATATTTCTCAAAAGAATAACTGACACGTAATACATTTGGAAGTACAACTTGAATCTTACATAAATGTATCAACCAATTTTTCTTTGAAGATGAAAAGAATGGAGTGTAGGAAATGGAAATGTGACTTCTACCTAGAACTACAACTTAGTAAGTAAAATTCAAAGTGACGCGTTTTCATTTGAAAAACAAGAAAGGAAGTAAATTATTCATGGAGAAAACTGTACAATTTGAAATTGCTCGCAATTCATTTTACTACACATGCATCAAAATTACTTCAACGTAGTTGAATATTACGTTATAATCTAAATTCCTCCAGGGTTTATTAAGTTTACCTGAAAGAGATGAATACTTTAGCCTATACAGAGTGTTCCACAAAAGTGACTAACTTATTATATCCTAAAATTATTTTGTTCTTTTCAAACTGTTGCAAAATTAATAAGGATAATAATCGGTTACAAACTAACAAGAATTACAGTGATGCAAGCGCTTTTTAGCAATATTTTTGCATAGTACGTAATATTTGTTTTAGGGATCGAGCTGATATATCCATGGCTCCACTAAACAGTCTTAAAATTCACATTTGGTAAATTCTGTGCGCATATTGCATATTACTACATATCAAGATTTTCTGAGGAAGAAGCACACAATATTTTACAAAAGTTATATACTCGCTGACGTTTGACGTTTAACTAAATCAATTTTAGCCCCAAGAAAACAAACAAAAAAAAAGTAAATTTGATTCCTGAAAAGTTATAAATATTTTTTAAGGATACACTGTTTGCCAAACCACGAACCTCAAAATAGCACCACGATTTCAATTATACGGGTTGTTCGGAAAGTCGTTTCGTTTTTTTTTTTGTGGAAATGAAAGACAGTTTTCATATAATAAACAAATACTTTATTAAATTATATATTGACCGTTCTGGCCCAACACCTTTTGCCATCTTTCTGGTAGTAGCATAATTCCACGCTCATAAAATTTTTGGTCTTTGCTGGCAAAAAACTGATCGAGGAGGTTTTTGACCTCCTCATTTGAGGTGAAGGTTTTACCGTCTAAAAAATTTTGGAGTGACCGGAACAAATAATAATCCGATGGTGCCAGGTCTGGAGAATATGGTGGGTGTAGCATTGTATCCCATTCAAGCTGTAAAAGCTTTTGGCGAGTGACCAAACTTGTGTGAGGTCTCGCGTTGTCTTGGTGAAACACTACACCTTTCCTGTTGATTAGTTCTGACCTTTTCTGTTGAAGTGCATCATTCAGTTTGTCCAGCTGATGACAGTAGACTTCCGAATTAATCGTTGTGTTATCCGGTAAAAGCTCAAAAAAAACGATTCCTTTAAAATCCCACCAAACAGACAGCATCACCTTTTTTTGGTGAATATCGGCTTTGGAAATGGTTTGAGCCGGTTCATCTTTTTTGCTCCATGACCTCTTGCGTTTGACGTTGTTGTATACAACCCATTTTTCGTCCCCAGTGATGATGCGCTTCAAAAACGGATCATTTTCGTGACGTTTGAGAAGCGAATCGCAGACGTCAATGCGGCGACACAGATTTCTCTCTGTGAGAACATGGGGAACCCATACATCGAGCTTCGAGGATAATCCCAGGCCTTTCAAGTGGTCATAAACTGTTGAATTTGATAAATTTAACCTCAATCCGATCTCACGTGTTGTTATTCGCCGGTTCACATCAACTAATGCCTTTATCGCGTCTTTATCAGCTTCAACCGGCCTTCCCGAACGTGGTGCATCTTCGACATCAAAATTGCCGGATCGAAATTTAGCGAACCAGTTCTGGCACTGGCGTACTGTCAACACACCTTCTCCATACACATCAGTCAATTTCTTTCTGGCTTGAACAGCATTTTTACCCTTTCTGTAGTAAAACAGTAAGATATGTCGAAAATGCTGCTTATCGCTCTCCATATTTAAAAGGGCACCAACCAAAAACTACTGCGTAGAAAAGCATATAAGAATTATACGGCTTAAATGTGAAGTTGGGTGCAAAAGAATACAATTAAATCCTCTGTCGGGAAAAAACGAAATGACTTTCCGAACAACCCTATAATACCGTCATTATAAGTACTAAACAACGCCTTAGGTCAGTGGTGGCTACATTTTCCGTTCTTTATCAGAGGTAATTTCATTTATGGACTCGTCACCTTCCTCACGTGTTACACGGCGTTTAATTTACATATACACATATAGAAACGGGTATGTCACGCAGGGTGCCACGTCTCGGCGGGCGTTTTACAACACAAGCTTTGCTCATTAAAACGCATGGAAAAAATGGACAGCGAAAACACCGTTTAATTAATTCCTACTGTCATAGAAGCTTCACGTCATAAACAAAATTCTGAATAGTTTGTTTAGAGGCGCTCTCCTGTTGCGAACAAAATGTTACACTAAAATGCGACGCTCTGCGTCCCCTTCATTAGCTGATGAAAAGCATAGTCGGCCACGGAAGCCCACACAAAAAGAAACTACATTTGCAATAGGTAACGAATAAAAGGAAATATGGAAAACAGCATACGAAGACAAAAATAAACACGTGTGTCGGTATATTTCAATTTGCAACCACATCTACTCAAAAAAAAAAAGCATCCGTGTTCGAATTTTCTTTCGGGCACTGTGGTGGTTGATGTCGCTAGCTGTGGCGGTGTGGAAGATATGGTGACTAAAAGTGGGCGGCCTAGACATATCCATATTTCAACCAGAGTATTCTGAATGTTCCAAATGTTTGGAATTTGTTATAATGTCCGAAATTTCTTAAGTTTAGTGGATGTAAGCACAGGTTTATTTATTCGGTCACCAAACACCAGTTTATAATAACTGGAAATGTACCAGGATGTTCTTGAATATTTCTAGTGTCCCGAGATAATGATGTTAAGTCTCTTGGAGTCTTTGAAAGCGAGACTCGAGTCTCCGCCTCTCATCGAGTCTCTCTGGTGTCGCTGAGAGAGATTGTGGAGAGACTGTCAAAAAAACTGTTTAGCGTCTCTGAACTAGAGACTCGAGTCACTCATAGAGAGATCCTCATTTCGTATCCAGTCTCTGAACGAGAGACTCGAATCTCTGAACGAGAGACTCGAGTCGCTCATAGAGAGATCCTCATTTCGTATCCAGTCTCTGAACGAGAGACTCGAATCTCTGAACGAGAGACCCGAATCTCTGAATTAACAATTTTGTCGTTAGAGTCTCTCGTACAGAGACTGTGAGATATCCATAAAAACACCTAGGCAATAACTGAGAGACTGTGAAAGACTGTGAGAGACGCTCTCAGAGACGCTAAGAGACTGGTGAGAGACTGACAATTTTTATCTAGGGGTTGTTCACAGCTAGAATGTCCTCGAACGTCTCAGGTAGAATGTTCTGCAGTGAACTGAACCAAAAAAATCGAGATCATTCTGGATTGTTCCAGGGCCATTATGTATGAGTGGTGAGACGTTCTAGACCACGTTTTACACCCTTAAGAAATGAATTTAGTGGTATTCAAATTTGTCTATGTATATACATCTCCAAACATAACCCAACCAAACAATAACGTCACCAATGCACTAGAACCGCGTAAACACAGATAACTCTGATTCTCAGTTCACTAACGTGTTTTATTCAGTTTATTCACAGAAAGCATCAGTTTTATACATTTCCTAGCACAATATCGGAATTTCATACAATTCGTAAAAAATGTATACAAATGGCGCGGTAAACGCCATCTGTAGTACGATGCTACATTTTAGGATTACGTATGCTCCAACAAGGTCCATTTAAATGTATGGATATCTACTTGCTGAAACGAATCATGGCGTAGCTAACCTCAACCTGATAGGCACGTTATCATATTCGAATAAAATAATTCGAAGAGATCTGTATTCTGTCGAAACTGCCAGACGCGAATCGCGATTTCGATCTGTTTGGATCTCATCAGCGCGTCGCAGACAGCTCCGATAGAACACAAACCAACTTTTACCTGCTGTCTTAACAGTGCGTTTTAGAAAATACCACAAATGGCGCGGTAAACGCCATCTGTAGTACGATGCTACATTTTAGGATTACGTATGTATACATTTCCTAGGAATTATATACAATTCCTAAATTTTGTACATTTCCGGTAACATATACATTAATATTCTGTTCAAGTTGTATTGAATAATTTACATATAGAAACGTTACTGAGAGATTATCTACATGTGAAGCGATTATTAGGGTTGTATCTATTGTACTACGACAATAGGAAAATTGGTGGAAACGTATTTGGTATGCTGTTCAGACCACTCTTAATAAGCGTGTGCCTGAGGTGGCGCGGCGGTACCTTTGCACCTTTGGTAAGGGTCATAAAACAGACGCACCGACGACATGCACAGATTCGAGCCGTAAAATAATCCATCTAACAAGAAGCTTTCCGGATATATCAGGCTTCTTTGAACCTGAACAAATATGTGGCAGGTATTATCCGATGGGTGAAAACCGGGTTAAAGACATGATACGAATAGTGCGAAAACGACAAGTCCAAGACGTGATATAGACTCATCACAAGTAAGATGAATTTGCAATACTTAAAATAAATAATTGTACACATTGCTATTGTGCAAAATAAATTGGTTTTACACAAATCTTGTTTAGAATATTCGTTACTATACAAAGTTATAGCACGATATTGACACATAGAAAAGAGAAGAGAGAAGAGAGAAGAAAAAGAACGAACACACACACACACACACACACATCTAATGTAAATAAGAATTACAATTTTATAAAATAATTCGAAGAGGTCTGTATTCTGTCGAAACTGCCAGACGCGGATCGCGATTTCGATCTTTTTGGATCTCATCAGCGCGTCGCAGGCAGCTCCGACAGAACACAGA